AGCCAATGGTAGTCACTGAGTACTATTTGAAACCCCTAATAACCTATGAAAAATTGAGCTCTGTGCCATACAGAAATCTAAAATACAAGCTTTTCCTGATGTAGCAGTAACTAGAAGCATTCCAAGACATAGTATCTGTTGATAATACCTTTTCTTGCATCTCTTGGCTAACTGTGTGTATTGCTTCAATAAATAACAAGATCCTATAGTCTTGTTTGGCAACTGCACAGCAACCAATGTTTCTTTCCTCATACTGCTTATCATGGAATGCAAGGGTCATGGAATGGCTAGCTTTAAGCTATGCTCCAATTAAGATGCTGAAGAACCTCAATACGAAGTTGACTTGGAAAAGCTTGTTTATCAACTACCCTCTGTAAGAGTAGATTTTGTCCGAACTCTGTGTTTTTAGGGTGGAATATGTGTTGGAGGTGGATGCTTGTTTTTGATCGTTACACTATTGCCATTTTTTAATCAGTAAGCATCATCTTCCCTTCTGGAAGATCAAAAATAACCTCTGGACAAGACAAAATGATTAGAACAGTGACTCCTTGGTAAGCTGAAGACGACAGCTGTTTGGTGAAATATGTGCTTTCTATTTTAGGTTTTTATTCTGGATGGCATTAACTTACCATCTAAATGTTAGGTATATAATGGTTAAGCCCTTCTGAAAATACAAAAACCAAATAATTAAGTAAAATTATTATAACAATTTTCTCTGGGGTGGATGGTGCTGTATAAGTTCCTGCTCTACTTGATTGCATGGTAACTGCTTTCTTAGTTTGTTTAAAGTCACTGAGGGAAAGGAAACACAGATGCAGATGAGTTTGGGAGAAGCAAAGCCATCCTAAATTTGGAATGTTGATCTTGTTTCAGGGTTTGAGTGCATGTCTGGGAATCCTAGTCTGAGTTGATTTTCTCCTGTAAGTTATCTTGGGGAATCGAGGCCAGGTAGGAGGGGAAACAATTTAGTAAAGAAAACCATTTACTGAAAAGTCCATTACAGTCAAAGGAGAAAAGCTGGGGAGCTTGTGTACTGACTCTCTTCCATGAATCTTCAGAAGTTTCCACTAAACAAAAAGAGAGACACTGCAGTAGTTGCAAAGGATCGTAAACCTCATTTACCAGGGGATAATAAGGGCTTATTTCCAACATTTGTTCTCGTCTCTAACACCATATGCACTTTTGGAGGTTAAATGAATTTGTAACTGAAAGACTCACAAATATCACACCTGTGAAATCTCACTCATCCTTCTACAAATTCCAGCTGCTGACTTGGATTTGAATATCTGTCTTCCTCCTATTTGTTTTCACATGTTGCAGGTGTCAGTATAGTAAAGATTTGTGATATGCTGTAATCAAGCCCAATGTGAATTTACCCCAGACAAGAAGATAACCAAAAAGAAAGAGGCTATAGCCCCATTCAGGTCTGTAGCATGCTGTGAAGGATGTGATAGGAGAGTAATCGTAGGTACTCCTTCACCATCACAGGTATGTGCTAGCTTGGCTCAAAGTCACTCTTCACATTTTAAGAACTATAAACACTGATCTACTGGAAGTATTCAGTGAAGATCCCTGGATTTCTACAAAGATGAGTCAAAGGCTTGGCAAGAATTGGATCATGGTTCATCCTTGGCAATGTAACCTTTTTGCAAAGAGGCTGAAATTACTGATGATGTTCATAATGGTGCTGAACATGTACATGAATATTTCTTCCCCCAAATAATCCTTGGGCGGAATGACTCTGTTCTCTTACTGATTACTCTTCCTGCAGTGTGTCAGTAGTGCTCTATGCTCTCATGTCTGTTGTTCTCTGGAGTGCTTTCAGGTAAAGGCTGAAGGATATCTTGACTTGCTTTGTTTACACAGTGTAAAGTGCTCTGTGTGGCTTTTCCTTTTATTTATCTTTTCCCCTGGTTCTTTTTTAGCCAAGTATTCAATATTTAAATGCCAACATTTACTTTGGAAGTGGCTGCTAAAGCAGATTGACTTTGCTTACCCAGTCCCCTTCAAAGTGGAAATGTGAGGGTTTATATTAATTTATTTATTTTTCATTCAGCCCAGATGGTATGCTTTTCAAAGTGAGCAATATGTACAGTGAAAATCGAATACTACTTTCCCCTCTTTTCACTCTTCCTTTGCTTAACTGAACACATCCATGTAGCTCATATTTGGATTGGATTCAAAATTAGTCAGGCTTCAGGGTAAATATGTCAGCTATTGAAAAGCCAGTTCTGCAAGATTGAAGGAATTTCTGCCACTACCAACAGTCAGCACAGCAAGTTGGCTGCACAAAATCTGACATCTCTATGGACCTTAATAAAACACTGTTCCAATACTCCAGAAAAAAATGGACAGGATGATATAATTAGGTCCTTCCTATATCTGTCACTTGCATGTGTGTGACACTGCATCTTGACCTGCGTGTGTGCAGAGCAGCCCTGAGCTGTGCAGCAGGCTGTATTCTCCATAAGTGGGCAGGGATGCTGCATTCCTGAGGGTTGAGAGGTGAGGACTGGATTGAGGATTTCCTTGTGGGCCTTGAGGGTTTTGCGTTGGTTGAAGGAGACTTCCAAAGAGAAGTTAGCAGAAGGAGCTATGTAATTTAAACAGTTTCATATGTGCAATTGTTTTGACAGTTCTTTATCCACAAATGGATTCTTTATAGATGGAGTAATGTGCATAGCAAATTTGTAAATGCATTGACTATGATTTTAAAATTACTTTGTCTGTAACCTGTGACTCTTATCGCAGCTGATGAAGGTCATATTTTAAGAGAAAAAGCTTTTGCTTTGGAATAGGACTGAGTCACAGTGCAGTGTTCCAGTTCTGTAGCAAAGCTTGTGTAGGGCTTGCTCTATCTTTGTTTCCTGTTTGTTTAAAAAAAAAAAAAAGGAAAAAGGAAAAAAAAAAAGTTTAATAACACATCCTTACTTTAGAAAGAGGTGAAGGATAAATTTGTTGTATGACAAAGGAAGTCCTATAAACAAATATCTTGCTGGGTGGAATGGAGTGGAAGTGAATATCTGTCTCAGGAATGTTCATTCAATTTAGGAGACTACAAGTATAGCATTTATTTAAAGGAGTTGTTTACTGTAGGAGACAGTTCTTGTCTTTTGGGGGTTTGTTCTGTTTTGGTTTTTGAAACAAGGAAAATTAAGGAAAAAATCCTTAATTGACTTTATTTGGTCTAAGTTTTTTAGTTAATCCTTGAGATCATTGCAAAAGTTTTGCAGGCAAAATACAGCAGTCTGACAGGATCTGACAGGAGATGAGCTTTGGTTTTTCTCCACAGGAGGTCTTAGAGTCCTTGGAAATGAATCCAGTTATCTTGTTTTCAAAGAAATACCCATGCCTAGAGGGAAGAAAACAGTTAAGACAAGTACATCTGAGATCTGGAGCCCCTTTATAGTTATCGACTTGCCACCTAGTCTAGAAGAGATCTTACTTAAGTTTTAACAGCAAGATTTTGAATAGCTCCAGCTTAATGGAAACAGAGTAGGTTAGATGGTACATGTGGGCAAGAGGGTCAGAAGAAGGTAGCAAAGAGCAAAAGCACAAATAAGAATGAGATCTGTTTTATGTTGTTTCTGACTAAATATATTGCCTGGATGCTTAGATCTCAAGAGAGAGAGGACGAAAGCGTTGGTAATTCTTGGTTTTCTTGTGATGCTTGAAAGTTCAATTTTATGTAAGAAACTTACTGTTAGACAGGACATTTGAGTTTTGTTGTAATAGCTGTTTTCAAGAGAAAATTTACAAGTGCTGGAAGAGTCTTCTACAGCTACTGTGCTGACTTGAAACCTATTTTTTAGGTGGAAGGGGAAAGAGGGTTAACATACGTGTGTGTGTGTGTATATATGTATATGTATATTTTGGAACCTCTTAGATGCTTTATAAATAAACTTAAGAACATGGCATGCTGTCTACACTGTTACTGAAAAAGAATATCTAGCTATCATATCATAAGCTGGTGAAGGCATACTTTAGTTCGTACTATTACTATAGGTGGTTTATTTATTTTTTTATTTTTCTCCTCCAGTTGCATACATACACATTATTAGCAAACAACTCACAGGGTGATAATAGGAGAGTGTGTAAGGTTGGCAGATTTACCTTCTGCACCACTGCCTGAGGGTCGTGTTTTTGCCTCGGTAATTGCATATCAGATGCAGGTCTGTGACAGACTGGCTTGAGTTGGTTCAAGCATTGTTCTTAAAGAAAAAAAAAATAAAAAAAACACTCAACAGTTGAACATAAAACTGTAAAACCTGGTGTCAGCAACAATGCTTTAAGAGATGGCCCTAGCCTGGGGTTTGTTGTTAGAAGTGTTGTATTTGATCAGTTTTTCACTGCTGGAATAGCCAAGGACAGATAATGTTCACTGTTGATTTGGATTTAGGTAGTTGGGCCTGAAGTACAGTTGGGTACAGCTTTCCCCAAGCAGCTGCTGAGCACAGGCACCTTTCTGAGTGTTGGCAGCACTAGATTAGACTATAGCTGAGCCTTTTCCAGTGTGCCTCATGTCATAATCTTTTTGCAGTGCAGTGTGGAGAGAGAAAAACACTCTTGCTTGACCAGAAAAGCAGTGAGACAGAGACTGAAATAGAGTTTGAGTTAAACTGACAAAAGCAAAAAGACATTAAATTGTCAGCTGCATAGCCCACCCTTGCTTTTGGCAGGCTGTTGCTTTCCTTCTTGGAGGCGCTGTGGCAGGAGTGTTAAGCTGGCCTTATGTGTGTGGCTGATGATTGCTTCACAAGGTGCGCTCGTGCAGTTTCCCTGTAGTTCAGTGAGCCAAAATGCCATTTTTGGAGCTGCTCTTTAGGAATGTCAATTCCGCTCTTACTGTCCAAGCCCAACCGATGAATTAATTTCTTCTGCTTACTAAGTCACTCAAGTGTATTATCTTCCTTCATTTAAGTTTGCATTTGTGGTGTCTGTGTTTTAGAAGTAACACAAAATTGGAAACACAACAGATTGATCTATTGCTGGTTAGAGGTATGTTCAGCCTCAAAGGCAAGTCTGTTCAGTTTCCTGCTATGCTATTCTCTTGGTATGTGGTGTCCTACTACTAAACCTCCTCTCCTTAACAGCCTCTCTAATGTGCCAGCTGTCTTACCTGCCAGTGGATAGATGTATGCCAGAGGACTAGATCAGGACCAGGAAACTCAATTCTAATTTTGACCAGCAATATTATATTTAAAAATGAGTTGAAAAGCTTGTATGAGTTAGCTACTATGTTACCTGGTTTCCAGCCGTTCCTAGAAATAAATTAACATGAAAAAAAATCATAAAATGGTAAAAAAATCATAAAAATAATATGAGTGGGAAATAGGTGAAACATTGATTTAAGAAAAAAAAAGTGCTAGCAAGTGCCACATCCAGGATACTGGTAAGTAATGTCAGAATAACCAGAATGGATAGGTTTGTCTTACATTGATTCATCTGCTGATCAACAGCTTTGTCAGTGACTGCTTTTGCTGTCTTTTTTAAAATCTCCCATAACCTTTTCTCTTTTCTGTTGCAGAGAGCCAACTGTTGCCAGGGAATAATTTCACAAATGAATGCAACATTCCTGGAAACTTCATGTGCAGTAATGGGCGCTGTATCCCAGGGGCCTGGCAGTGTGATGGGCTGCCAGATTGCTTTGAAAAAAGTGATGAGAAGGAATGCAGTAAGTGACCACTGCCCTTGCTGTAACACGCCTACTGTGATGAGGGTTGGCGAGGCAGCATTAATTGTGTGTTCTGCAATGTGTATTATTTAAGTAACAAAGCTGCTGGCAGTTTTTTAGTGTAGCTCTCGTTAAAGATGATGTACAGCCTTTCTGATCTGACCTGATTCACAGACCTGATTTCAGGTCTGTGAGGTTCCTCAAATTGGTCTGTTTGTGGTTTGGTGCTTTGTTTGGTGCAAACCCCTGTTTAGAGTCAGACCTTTCCTAGGATTTTCCAGTGGAAGGATAGTGCTCGAAGTGATATGCTGAATATACTGCTTCAGCACACTGGCCTATATGGTAAAGATCATAGCTACCTGCTGCTACAAGTTCACTTCCACTATTGAGATTTGTGATTCTGGAAAAGAGTTCCTTTTGCCTCAAAATCATTGACTTCATCTTATTCCTTGTGTTCTGTCCTGCCAGTTTGTAATTCTTAACCCTTTGAAATTTAAATAATAACTTTCTGGAGGATAGACCAAATGGATTGCCTAATAATGTTTGCCTGCTTCAATCCTACTTACAGCATTCGCAGTCTTAGAGAGCTTCAAAAGTCTGATATGGGTCTCCTTTGTGATCTTGTCCCCCTTTTTCTTTTTTTTTTTTTTTTTTTCCTTGCATTAACTGGGCTTTTGGTAGTGTGAAAACTTAGCATGAAACCTCCCAAACTGCACAGCATGGCTAGAGAACAAAATTGTGATGGCATTCCAGTATAACATTGTGATTTAGAATGCTGTTTTGGGGAGCTGCAGGGGAATCCTCAGAAATTCCATGTGATTCTAAAATGTCTTAGATCTTCATTTAACAAGCGTTGCTCCTTTATGTATATGTTTTAGAATGCTATAAGAAGATTACCTTTCCCAGGATGTTTCCAAGATATTACTAGCTTCCCTTATGGAGTAGAAGAAAGAAGGAATAGCTTCTTCTGAAATTCTACAGAATTGTCCTGTTGGTTATATCTTGATAAATGTGTTTTGTTGTTGTTGTTTTTTGTTTGTTTTTGTTTTGTTTTTTAAAATCTTGTTCTTTTGTTTTTACCTTTATGCCTCTTCTTTGCCTGCTGTTTCCCATCCTTTTAAGATCAGAGGATTTGAATAATTATGCTGTGGAAATCCACATAAGTCTTCTCTGAGCTAGCAAGTTTTTTTTCCCCACTTCTTTTGGGCCCCCTTAAGAAGGTCTGCATAAAATATCTGATATTTTATGAAGATTATAAAGTATCAGACCTGTGTTGCAACATTGAAAAGAAGTTAAATTATTTAGCAACTTAAATTTTAACCCCTTAGGAAGTGAGGAAACTATTGCAATGGTTGCAAGTCTGTTTAAACTGTAGCAGAATTGATGTCAGTGGGGACTTTGACAAGAGTGATTGAAGTTCAACATGCATCTTTCAGTGACATGACAACAGCTGCATAATTCTCATCTTCCTTGTTATCTAGCTTTTGAATACAATTCTAGTCCATGCTTTTGGTGTGTCCTTTCCATTTCTTAAAGCTAGGTGAATGAAGGCACTTTTAACCTCACCCTCCCCAATGGTGTTTGTAGGATACAACTGTGGACATTTGCTGCCTCTTATAAGAGCTGTCGTTTGCTGCCTTGCATGAATTTCCTTTCATCTGGTAGAAATAGAGACTGCTAATGAAGTATAACTGGGCTGGACGTTTGCTCATGAATCAGTAATAGCAAAATGCACCACAATGACATTCTGTGCAAAAGCTTCGTTATCAGTTTTGATTGGATTCTTTGAAATGCAGGCAATACTGCATAGTAACTGACAATAAAATTTTAAATAGTTACAAAACTGCAGTTCATAAAAATTGCTATTTTTTAAGACAGACTTGAAGCCTTACTGATCTAGGTTCTGCTGCAACTGTGAATTTTGCTTTGTACAGAGTTGTCCTATTGGTTGTGTTTTTAAATCCAGTCTATATGATGAGCTAACGGGGTTTTTTTGAATGAAGTCCTTTTAATAGAGATAATCAGTCTGTTCTTTCCTATTTCTATACATCTATTGGCTAACTGATCACCTTCATAAATGTAAAATTAGCATGGAAAAAAAGACAACAGGGAAAGCAAGGCATTCGTATTCATATCTTGTGCTTGCCTTCTATTAGCAGGTCACATAAGCCAGTAGAACAGCATAAAGATAGCACTCAATTAAATCTACCTTCCCCTGACCCCATCTCCTCACGCCCCACCCCAAGAAAAAGAAAAAATTCCATGTAAACAAGGTTCTATAGCATATCCAGAGAGAATCCAGAGCTGCCTGTTTTGCGTCTCGCTATTAGTTAATAGCTTTTAACTTGATGAACGCTGCCAAGGACCTTCTCTAATATTGTAGCCCTTGTGCTGAGGGGATGCTGAATGGGCTTGTGCAGCCACAGTCTGTGCCACATTCAGGGGCATGCCACATGCATTCCTGTCTTGCGAATCATTTCTCATCTCCAAGGGAAATGATTCCCTTTACCAGGGTCCTCTTTTCCTGGCAGGTGAGGGCAGGGAGGAGAGAATTTTCACTGGGACAGAAAGCTGGGGAAGTATAAAGGGGATTGGGAAGGCTCCTTTTGCATTGTTACTTGTTGACTCTGCATTCTGGAAGTTGTTCTACTGTCTCAGTGATGTATGATTCTTATAAACCATGAAATGCTCCATTTTGAATCCTGCTAAGTACTTGGTTTAAAGGGAAAGTTCTGTCACTTTTAATGTATGTAGGTATATACATACAGTGTGTGTAGCTAAAACATAGCTTGTTTTGCTCTTTTGATGAATTTTGAAATTGGACTGTTTCCTATGGATGCTGTTGCATCTGTCACCATGCAGACCAATGTAATGTCGTCTTACATTAGAAAGGGACCAAAAAAAAGAAAAAAAAAAAAAAGGACCCAAATGTCTGAATTTGGTTTTAAAGAGTCTCTCCAAGGATGGAACCACAACTTCCTGGGCACCTGTACCAGTTCGAATAGCTTCATTGTGAACATTTATTTTTCTTAATATGTAAGCAATTTCCAGTCCCAAGGTGCAAGTTAAACTTATTTTTAAAAATATGCAATCTGATTAATATTCAACTCTGGCCCTAATGTGTGTACGTTTGGGTTGGAGAAAGGGCAGATGTAGGGATCCAAGAATTATTCTTCCTCACCTCAGAAGCAGCAGATGACTTTTCAGCAGAAACAGTTGCTGATATTCAAGATGTGTAAGCGTGCATCATCTCTGGTTGTCCTGTTGCAGCAGTGTGGGTATTGTTACTTGTGTCACAGTAACTCTGCAGAGGACAGCAATACTTGAAAGTATCATTTTAGCATCATAGAACAAGGGGTGTGTGTGGTTTTTATATATATGTGTGTGGGTATATATATATATATATGTATGTGTATGTTTGTACATGTCTGTGTGTGTATATATATATGTGTGTGCACACACATTTGTGAATTCATTTAAAATCTTTATTTCGTAATTTCGAGTCCTGACTTTGTCTCCGTCAGAATAGGGCTCTACTTATTAAACCTATCTTGCAGCACAATTGAAGTCCTTTGTTTTCCACTGGGATGTTGCTTTGCATTAGCTGAGCTGTTGATAGTTCAGACAAAGAGTTGCAGTAGCAGCATGAGATGGCCAAGTGCCCAGTGTGTTACTAGCTTGAGCCGAGCTTTAAGCTCCTTTGTCTGTGACTCCTCATCGAATAGCCAGTGTGCATTTAAAGACTTTAGCCTTGCTTTAAAGCATGTGTGAATAAGATTTTGGTTGCAGGATTCAGACTGTGCTGCAGACTCTCACTTCTGTGAAATGAGTACTGTGTTTTGGTATGTTTTGCACACGTATGTGCTGTCAGGTGCAAAGGCTCTTTCTCCTTTGTGTGTTGCCCTGTAGTTAAATGTGGATGTCCAGGAACATTTTGATCAGTTCCATTTCAGTAGAACATCACCATGTCTGTGCCACTCTGAATATAAAAGCTTGCAACTCAAGTTCTGGTTCTCATTTTGTGCAGCCCATGTGTGAAAATTGCTGCTCTGTGTTCTGGGAAACTTGAGGTCAGTTTAGCATTGTATACCACCCACTGCATCTGACTTCCTTGCAAGTACAAAGAAGTGAGATGCGAAGAAGGAATTAAAGCAGGATTACCTTCTACTTGTCTTTTCATGATATATCTTTTCAGTCTGTTCTCTCTTTTCTTTTTTTTTTCTTCCCCTCTTCTCCCTGCCCGCCCCCCATTCTTTTCTGACTCCTGCTTTGCAGGGCCTTCTATGTTAACAGCGTTGTTTTCTTTTGTGTTTTCTTTTTTTGCCCCTCCATCTTCCACATTTACCAGAATTTGTACCATCTGTCCTATTCCTTGCTTTCCCTTTGCCCTGACTGGTGATCACTTTAACATGTCATGTGCTGCAGAGAACCCTTCATATAGGTTTGTCTTTTGTGATGTGGCAACATAAAAAAATTTACCGTGTTTTGCTTTGGGAAGGAGGGATAGGAAAAGGCATAAGAGGGAGGCGGGAACCTGAGACAGTGAACTGTCTGTGAACTGTTTCTCCTAGAAGCAGAGGATCTCATTGTTTTTTTCCTCCCAACCACTAATTCAGCTTGAAAAGAAATTAATTGGCCGTAGCAGTGTAAATGTTTCATGAGTATTTCCAATTCTTGATAGTTTGAGTAACCTACCATCTTTAGTCCATCTCCTGAAATAGAGAACCCGTTTGTAGTTCCTTCCCCTGGCTCTGAAGGTTCACAGCCTGTTAATCAGCCTGTGCACTCAGTTATGTTATGCAGTTTTCTTTGCAGTGTTAGTGTGCTTTTCACTGCTACTTCTGCTCTCTGGCTATGTAGATGATTTGTAAGGGATGCTCAGGCTGCTCATGGTCAGTGCAGAATTTTTACCAGACTTTGCTGTAGAGATTGTAGCTGTATACAGTTAGCCACCTGATATCCACAGTCTCTTAGCACAAATGGAAGATCCAAAATTACAA